CTTCTTTCATAGAAAATGTAAAACTTAGAGATTAATCTTATAGACTTGGAATGCCAGGTGAAAACTTATGAATGATTCATAGGAATCTAGTCATCGATAACTTTTACAATCGTTAACTTTTGTTATGAAAACGAAATAAATGAAACTATAATGAATTGATGACTTTTTCTACCGTATTTGTTATTCCAAAACACTTCCGCTTATCATATTAGCTTCAAGGCCTACCAAATTTTTCACATTATGAATGTAGTTCACAATTAATAATATTAAATAATCTGATTTCACATCTCCATCGCCCAAATTATCGCGTGCTGTGGAAAAACCTATATTTCATAAATGCCGTTTAAAATACTTTATAATGAATTTCTAGCGGCTGTAAACATTCGCATTTCCCATAATCAGCCAAAGGTAACACGCGAATGAATTGCATATATAGCGCACGCCATTATTATTATGTGCACACGTGTGCCTATGTGCAACGAGTGGCCGTCGCGTGTGAAAATCCAGGGCCTACGACGTCGCAATATGTCGAGTAAAACGATCGAAGGACGCGGTGGTTAGCTTATTATAATACGCCCCGCGAGCCTTCCACACCCCGCTGACTCGGATAAATAGATGTTTTGCCGCCAACCGAGTGTGAGCTATGAAAGGTCAAGTTGCAGAATTTTCCGCTCGCGTTTTAACCAACCTTCAGAAGTATGCGATTTGCATCGATGTCAGTGTTTGTCCATGTTTTCCCTCTTACTATGGAATTTACGCATTGCAATATTGTACGTTTAACTTTGCAACTTTTAGGTGTATTTTATTTGTGCAATGATGAAAATTATTCATAAACAACATTTTATCTGAAATTGAATTCAAATCTTGTCTTTACGTTATGGAGATTGAATGTCAACGTCGAAAAATTTAATTTATAGTATTTCAATTTTTTTTATTTGTCGTAATTTCCGTTTTCTTCTTTCAGTATAATGTGTGCTAGCCTCAGGCAATGCAACTCTTTCACGATTTGTATGTATATAGTTATGGAAATAATAGACTTATTGAAGTCTGGTTATAAACTACAGACGCTGTATCAATTCACGGCGAGAAAACTTAATTCAAATAGCTTAAATACGTATAATAATACTAACAATATAGGAATGCATTTGAAGATTAAAAACTAATCTCAATAATGAAAGGCTTAATTCTTTAGAAAAATAGTATCTAATGGGAATCTTTAAAAGCTTTAAATATCGTGAGAAAAAGGAAACTTTCTTCAAAATTCAATAGAAAGTGCAGTGACGCATGTCAAAGAAGGTACCGAGAGAACAAAGGAATGCAAGACGATACACCTTGTGTTAGCGGAACAAAACAAGGGGTAGGGGTGGGGCGATGCAACGCTAAACTAGCGACATATGGCGGCAAGGACAAAGTATCTTCGCACAAACCCGCGCACACGCACAACTACCATATACTAATTGAGCATGAAAGTGCTAAAAAAAGAACAGATATACATCCCATTCGCAACTACTTGGCAAAAAGTTCGCTTCCAATTATTGGTTACAGAGCTAATTTTCCACTTCCAGTCGTTTCAACCGTGGTTGGCTTACCCTCACATATGCAGGTACTTAATTTACGAAATATACTTTTATTCGACATATTTTATGACATCTATATGATATTGTTTAGATAATTGTATTTTAATTAAAATGTATGCAAATGAATAATATTTCTGTTATAATATTTTGTCACAGAAATTGATTACACTACTGAAATACTGAGTTGTGAAGTTATTCGAAGTGAGAATTTTGAAAACTTTGGGAATCGTAAGGATTTTTCAGAATTAAAAAAATATCAGAAACGTCACCACATAACATTATTTTAGAACTGTTGTCAAAGCTTTTACAGAGTTCTATAAGATTTTGTAGCGTAATATTTGAATGAAAATTAAGTCCAAGCACTTTTAACATTCTATTTATTTCCGAAAATTGAGCTGTCGACACTTGTAACCATTTTTATCAAACTCCATACTCAAGCAATTTAAAATGAATGGTAAAACTCAGATCTCCGAAACTCAGGCATGTCGAAATTTTCAGAAATGAAATTTTTATACGCCTGGTGATTCGAATTCCATCTTAAACTCTTAAACTGTAAGTCCAGTCTCATGATGCATATAAAAACACTCTGCCCACGCCCTTCCAAAAGTGGTATGAAAGGTTTCTTGCCTCTTAGAACTATAGGGAACCAAGGCTAATGCTCACGGATACCCTATATACCTCTACAGCGTTCAAAACTAACGTAATTCTTGAAGTAAGAATAAATATAATAATAATCAATAAATATAGCCAATGTCCGTGAACTATATGAATATTTCAATAATTTTTTCTGTTATATTTTTTTTGAAAATAGATTTTCTTGCGTTGACACTCTGGAGGTCACGAAAGCAAGAGAAAGTTTTCAATGCCACGTTCACAGATAGATTGACTTTTCAAAATGTGAGCTTCTTTCGTATTCAGAATCGGAATAAAAGTTGAAGTTCTATTCGGATCGGATCGGTGATACATAGACAGTCATCATGAAAAATTTAAGGTACCGACATATGCAATTCATATCACAGATTAGCATGAGAAGTTCCTTCCGTTTCTAACATGAAATTGATCAACCATCAAATTATAGGAATCCAATAAGTTCTGATTGTTGTAACATTCTCTATTTTCCGATAGTAAATGACTGCGAATGCAGAGACCACCAAACACATGACAAGCGGAAGATCAAGAACGGTTGATAGATAGGAATCTGACTGGTGGACTGACCTGCAATTTGAAACTGCGGGTCAAACGGGTCTACGATATTCCCTGACATGCATCATCTGTGCAAGCTATAGTAGCAGCAATGCCTTTGACTTTGATGTGCATGTCACTTGATCGGCCGATTATATCATAGCCAGCTAATAACTCGAAGATGTGGCAGCAATCAAGGAGTTTGCACGTACATTATCAGAACAAGAATTTAACTAAGCTTTCAGTATGTATCTACATGTATCTACATATTCGAAACGACATATTCGTATAGATCGAGATGTTGCGCCAAATACAATTATCTCTGTCGAATGCATATGAAAACACGTGAAATTCATCGAATAGCTTCACTCGTGCGAAGTGCACTTGGCTATTTCAAAGGAGTTTGCCGGATCCCGAAATAAACCTCCGTACATGAGACATCCGCATCTCTAGGGAATATTGTGGTGCGGTCGGGTTATGGTCGTAAAGTGCGCTAGATTAACCGAATGGAAACATGAATGATTAATCACATCAACGAGTGTTTGGAACATTGCCGTCAACCTGACGAAAGAATTTCGTTAGTTATGTGCCAGATGCCCATGAAATGTTTGTAATTAAAATTTCTATTGTTCCGCTAGAACGCTATCTGATGTTCAACTTCCAATATTTAAATAGATTTGCTAGTTTATGAGAGTTTTGTAAAGAAAAACTACGTTTAAACGATAAATAATGAAGATGCATTAGCAAGAAATCCCAAGTGATAGAGATAAAAAGTAAAGAGCGAGTAATGAAATTTTGTGCCTGTGTATTGATTTGAGTACGGCGACCTGAATATATTTTTCGGATAATTGATTGCCTAATATTGATTAACCGTTCGAGATTCTAAAATGTTGATCGCAGCTACGAATATGTCAACTTTTTTTGTTAGGTCATGACATACATATAATAGTCTTATTTAACGTAGTTGGAATATACTTATCTGAGCACATTTGTCTACAGTGTTTTTAATTTTAAATAAAGGTATCTAAAACTCACAAACTTAGTTCATTCACCTTATCACAGTAAAGAGTTCTTTTATATTGAAATTATTCACATCCGCCGTTATGTGCCACAATTCAATCACAATAGCCTTGGCAATAAAAGCCACATTTACATTTACCCGACTTATTTTATCCAGATGATTGAATTATCACTATTGTGTGCTTAATTTTCATTCAAATTTCTATTTACATATATAGAGTATTTATTGATTTTTTTTTTACAACCTTTACAATTTTAAAATATGTCAAAGTTATTGTTTAAATATAGGTTTGAATACATGCTTAATAGTTATTGTTTAGATATCGATTTTAATGTATACTTAAAAATTATTTTTAAAACATATTGTTTAAATCTTAAAAGTATTAGGGGATAAAAAATCGCAAAAGTTCAACCCCGCTAAAAATTTAAATATAAAAATGTAATATAAAAATATAATATTTAAAAATGTTTAGTTTTTTATTCATGTAATATTAACAAATAATCGCTAGCTAAAAAGACATTGTTTGTACATCTTAAGTTTTTTTAAATTAACATTTTGACTCCCAATCTATTATAATTTATCCACAAAAATCCATAAATAGGGTAGTAAAATTTAATAAATTTGTTCAGTATATTAGCAAAAAAAATGTGTTAATTGTTACTGTTTAGTGCGTACTATCAATGATCTTTAGTAACACGTAGTATGAAATTTACACAGCAGACTGCAATCACGTCGGTCGATAAATAAGGCAATCTCACAGCCTGTGCCAAAGTATGCGCAGACGAGAAGCCGACAGCCGAGAGGGCCAGGCCAGGAAAAAAACTGTCCAAACTTCACAGGAGCGCGTCGGCGCATTAGTTTCTGGACAAGGAAAACATATGAAGAGGCGAATCAGTGACGTTCGAAAATGAGAAAGCAGATACCTTGGCGTTGTCGTTGCGTGTATAGCGCGTACGTGTACATAGTACACACGCGTTGGTGAATTTATTATATCCCTACCTGGGTGTGCGTGTGCCTTGCCCGTGCGCGAACGTTTCGTCGGTCTGGAAAAAAAGTATTCAGACTCTCTCGCACAGCCATAAATACAATCTGTAACTTATAAATACGAGCTGCTTAACGGTCTGTCGAACTAACGCGCTAAGCAGTTCGTTGCTTGCCGCCGGTACGTTCACGTGTCTTCGAAACTGTTCTCTCTGCCTCTTCGTCCTGCCTTCCCTTCTTCTCTCGTTCGCTTTCGAGACAAGTTGAGCGCCTAATACGGCAACGCGACGTAACACACACTAAAATGAGTATCTCGGAGGCGTACAATTATTACAACGTGAAACTAGCAGGTAATTGTTATTTTCGTGAGTGTGCTTATTTTTTTATTATATATCCGTGGAAAAGTGTGCGTGCAAATCCTACACGAACAGTCAAAAGGTGTTTTTTAAACGAGTAACTGTAAACGAGTCGAGGATCACGAAAGAAAGTGGTTAACCTATATAACTGCAAAAAGAATTTAAAGTGATGTGTTGAAGTGAATTCTGTGTTATTCATAGTTTTGTAATTACCATTTACTGTGTGTGTAATTACCATGTGTTAGAAATAAAAATTACGTTCGCGTAATATTCCACACTTGTTGTTGCAATTTATTTAATGTTGTTTTATGTTTCTTTTATTTTTCATGTAGATCCAAGGACCAACAACTGGCCATTAGTCGGCAACCCGACGCACATATGTTTAATTTTATTCGCATACGCATATTTTGTATTGAAATATGGACGGCAATACATGGAACATAGAAAACCATATTCTCTAAAAACATTTATCTTCTATTACAACATATTTCAAATAGTGTCAAACGCCATTATTGTATATACGTTCTACACATCCGGCTGGGCGACAGAGTTTACTTTAGGATGTGAGCCGGTACGATACACAACGAGGCCGATTGATATAAGAGTGAGTCAATTGATTCTTAAATTATTAACTCATTAAATTCTTTATGCGTGCTTAAAAAACTTGAATACCTTATACAAGCACGTATAAAATAACTTATGACACTTTACTTAGTTTAGTTTTAATATTTTATATCTTGGTTTTTTCCTATTAAAAAGTTGTAGACTGGAAACTTATTTTCATTTTTACTATTGAATTAACTCTTATATTATAAAAGAGAAAATTAGAAAAAAACTTCGAGCTGACTATAACTAAAATAAAATAATATGCTATACTGAAAATCGTGTATGATGCGAACAACGTTTATGTTGCAGATGTTGAACGTCACGTATAGCACGTTAATGTTGAAAACTATAGATTTGGTTGAAACAGTTATTTTCGTTTTAAGAAAAAAGTACAATCAAATAACATTTTTACATGTGTATCATCACATTAGTACAGTTCTAGTCACATATATTTGTTTAAAATATTTCCCGGGTGGAATGCTATCGATGCAAATGATAATTAATGGATCAGTACATGTTATTATGTACACATATTACCTCTTGGCAAGTTTGGGATCTTCTTGGCAAAACATGCTTAGTCTAGTGAAGCCTTATATAACGCGGATACAAATCGTAAGTAATTTTTAAAAGCGATGATCGAAAACGTTCTTCATTATCGGACAAGCTACTTTAAATGATTGTATTAATTTCAGATTCAGTTTTTGTTCCTTGTATGGCATCAGGCTCAAGCGTTTTCATCATCTTGTCCTGTACCCAAGTTTGCTCCAGCTTTGATCTGTGGCAATTTACTGTTAAATTTAGCTTTATTCCTCAATTTTTACAGGCAAAGCTATCGGAAACGCGTCAAATCCACTTGAGGAAACAAGTGGAAAATTAATTCAGATGTTAAGTGTAAATATGTACATTCAAACGACAGCCATTTGTTCATGCATCCCATTTTCATATATCTGCTGTGCTTGCTTACAATTTCAAATCGTAAGTGAAGTTTTATGTATACGTTTAGGCTATTTTCGTTAATCTCTATGTTTATAATTTTTATGAGATATTGTAAGTAGACATTAATGAGCGTTCAAAAATGCAATTATTTAATATATAATGTAATTGCTGATTAAAAGCATCGTTGAAGTTTTAATCGTGAACGAAAATCGACAAAACATTGCTTAAAAAACTCGTAATGCTTAATTGTTTTGAACATTTGTTGTTTTAAATTAAATGGCTAACTGCTATGAAGTCATCGTATTTAATAAACTTTTTATATAATTAAATAAAAAAATATGGTTTATTTTATTCGTTAATTTTCCTTTTTACTGCGATTACTACTTAACGACTACAGGCTAATTCAAAATTCATGCATCATTATAGGTCTTTGACACTTACATTCGATTCACATTTTTAAAACCTGTTTAAGGAGTAAAGTAGTATCCTTTTTCAATGTAATTTATTTGTGATTTATTTTCATAAAAAACACTTTTTTATCTCTTAAGTGTTCAATATAAACGCGTATCTTTAAAAAAAATATATATATATAACGATAACAATATTGACTTAATGAATCCATCACAGACGCGTTCGCGAGGTCACGTCAGTAGAAAGCGAGCAGCCGTCGTCGCTTACAGGTTACACATACGTAAATAATTTGTCATGCATTGTAAACTAATGCAGTGAAAACGCTTATACCTCGTATCACCGGAAAAGAGAGTTAGCAAAAGGAAAAGAGTTGAAGGTGACTTTGGTCACGTGCAAATGCCAGGACTAATGTTACGTCAACTCTGGCTTCCGGCGATGTAGATATATGTGCTGCAACTTCGATCTGACGTAATTCTGATTTAGCGTCTCTAGGCGCCCACCCAAAGATATCCACCGCCACCTACAACGACGACGACGACGGACCTATGATTTGTGGTCGTCAATACGCCGCCGCTCGAGCCGTGACGTATCTCACCGATCATAATTACATCCTGCTATAACACCCTCGCGCGCAACTGAGGGATCTACCTTCTCACCTTCGCAAGAGAGAGAGAGAGAGAGAGAGAGAGAGAGAGAGAGAGAGAGAGAGAGAGAGAGAGAGAGAGAGAGAGAGAGAGAGAGAGAGACAGACAGACAGACAGAGATGAACTCTGTCTTTTGCGGCAGTCCGATTGTTGATTGCTGTTCCGATTCATTGCGACGTATTTGTGCGTATAAGAAAATCGCGTGATTGGCTTTTGTAAGCAGATCGACGCTCGATGTGATACTTAAGACAACCGGATGTTATACACTTGATGAACTGTCATTTGCAACTGTAATTGTCTGGAAAAATTGCTAATGGAATATTTTATTCAAAAGTCATTGAACTTTCATTAATAAACTACTTATGAATCTATCAATTAACTTTTGCTATATGGTAATCTCAAGACGATAACACTGTGTGTTGCAAGACGATAAATTTAATCAAAGTGATAAGATCATTGTTTCGAGAGGTCTAGACATTTTGCATGTGTTTTTCAGATAAAAATAGTCATATCTGACACATTTCTGTCAAGCATAATTTTTTATTAGTTTTATTTATTATCGTAGCAATAGGACACCTGATAGTTTTTTCACGAAAACTCTTATCATACTTAACATTCAAGGTAATGTTGACAGCAGGTGCAACACACGCGTTTGAGACCTGCTTAAAACATTGTAAAAACGCTTCTAGCTGCATTGGCGCAATACTGCATGAAAGAGAGAAAAAAGTATGCCTTTTTTCCTTTTCAAGGTTATTTCATGTTTTCACATTTAATTTAATAAATGTTATTCTCGATCTTTTGTACAAATTTCAATTATAATTTAGCACCTACATTACGTTTAATTTTTATCGGTCCAGATTCAGCATGCCTGGGGCATGCGACCTCATACTCACTGAGCCATCGTGGCTTCATAAATGTTGTACTTTGAGCAATAACCCAATTATCGTAATTCTGATAAATATAACCGATTGAATAACATTGATCGTTTCCGTAAGCTTTTGTCTATGCATCCTTTAAAATCGTAATCGCTCGGCAATGAAACCGCATGCAATGACAAACGGCAATTAACCTAACACTCGAAGCTCAAAGCTAACAGTAGACCTAAAGCTAAGTAACTCACGAGTAGGTGCTAATTAATCTTACATCACGTCTCCCCAGTCGCTTGTAAATTGGTGGGTGGCGCGTCGGTCACTCGACAACCGTGCGGATCAAGCGTCTCGTCCTTTCACCGCCCTCGACTTCATCCCTCTCTCTCTCTCTCTCTCTCTCTCTCTCTCTCTCTCTCTCTCACTCCCTCTACTACTGATTTACCGCTACGCAACCGAGGGAGCTCAATCGCCTTGCCGATTGTGCAAGCAGAAGGGCTACGCTTGTATAATCCCTCTTTCCCTTCTTTCTTTAACATGCGGAAATTTCACGTACAACGTCGTTTTTTACTACAAATGCGACAGTTTAACGAGTGTGGCATGGATACCATATTGTAAAAGTTTTAATGAGAATATCAGCGAATTCTATTTTATTGTCAATGCAAAATCCCATAAAATAATAACATATGCTGTATATAAAAATATTTGTTGAAAAAACGTTATCTTCATTTCAGTCAGACGTATCCACAAAATAAGATCCAGATGACTTTTAAATCACTTCTATAAAGACCTGCTTGCTGCTTTATTTCCGGAAATAAACAAGATTAATGCGCGTAATTGAATTAACATCAGACTGCGGGTCTCGCTTTTCCTTTTATTTCTTAGCAGACTGCATACGGATCGTTTATACGGTCAAATTCATGTCTGGAAAACAAAAGGAACCTATTGTGAAGCATGCCGGACGTACAAAATGCGGTATACGGCCAGTAAATCAAATCGAGAAGGACTCGTTTCTAGAAAGACAACGTTGGACAAGGCCTATTAGTATAAATATGCTTATAATGAGAGTATGAAAAGGGTTAAGAAAAAAAGGGTATAGTGCGTCTCGTGCGACCCTTGACTATTCTAACACTCAAATCTCTCGACGGTTAGTTAATATTTATTGGCTTAGACGATGACTGTTAACACATTAACGCCTTTGTTGTGATTTTTCTATTCTCATATATACCTACATGACTTTTCTATTCCAGTGGTCAGTTTACGTTGACAATGTAATTAAGATATATGGAACAGAGGCGAGTGATCATATGTGTTTATCCTGTTGTATTCACTAACCGTACGGAGCTGAAGCTAATAATTGTTGTTTATTAAAAAGACAATATTTCATGTGGAACGACTAAAAAATAATAAATAAGCGATATACAATGTTTTACAATGTTTCAACATTCTCGCGTATATATGAACTTTAGATCGGGTTTATCTATTCAGCATTGAGTTTCGAACATAGTGTTCAATCGAGTATGCGTCACTCAAACACATATTAACCTCTCGTGAGCGTGATGCATAGTTAATCGCTGAAAATCTTTTTGATCTCGAGAAAAGAATCGACTTTCGAATATAACCGTCGTGATACGATTGAATTCTATCGCATTCTATCATCTCTCTTTTGGCGCGGAGGATCTATTCAAAGCCAAGTCAAAGTCTGGGTGACAGAGAGAAAGAGAGAGAGAGAGAGAGAGGAACCCCCTTTGCATATATGCGCGATCGTCGAATTAATCCGCCATTAATATCCTTCCAGTGTGTACGAGCGCGCCCGAGTATGTAAACCTTCTCTAAACAAGACTCCACGTCGCTTTATAAATGACCGCGTGCGCGCGAGCGGGCTTCTAGTTTCGTTTACCCTCTCACTCGATTCTGCCGTTCTCTCTCTCTCTCTCTCTCTCTCTCTCCTTTGTCTACCCTTTCGCTACTATATACCCCCTTTTCTCTGCTTTGCCTGCGGATGTATTTCTAAACATGTATATGCTTTATTTGGAAATTGTTGTCTTGATAAACTGAGAATATACGTATTTATTTGTAAATGATTTTTTATCTAATTTTATTTTGAAAATAAGATGAAATACAGTTCATTTTCTAAGATTTCGAATGTTGAATCGAGAGTAAATATTCAATGAACAAATGATGTTTTTCGTAATACTTGAAAGTAAATTTTCATAGTTCCAACTAACTTTGATTTACTTTTTGTAAAAGTGCCAGAAGCTGTAAAGTATTCGCAATGACGATTGCTGAGGTATTCAAATATAACTTTTCTAAATTTCAGTGAAAGTTTTTTGACAGATGGTATCTGTGAGTGCTTAGTTTGTCGAAAAAATTGCTAGAAATGAATCAGTATTTCAAGCTGAAAATATTAACGTAACTTATGTCTTTTCAGTATTGGAATTAAGATAATATTTTTAAAAAATAATGGAAAATATCGATTGTTTGAGTAAAATCTAAGTTTATGTTTATGTTGCGAATGTAAAATTAAAGTATTTTTGAATATAATTTATCTAACCAAGCACGACTAGTAGAAGCAGAATTATAATATTTCATTGTGATCTATGATGTAAATTGATTTTTAATTTGTTTGAGCTGACACAACCGTTGGTATATCAACATAAGATTACGTCCAATGCGTTTTTTTCCGTCTTTTACATCGTGCATAATGCCTATGTAAAACTATCGTGCAGAGATCTACTCTTTGCCTCCATAATGGCAGAATTTGTTTTATCTGTCAAGTTAAGATTCATCACAAGAAAATCGTTTGAGCGTGATTTATTGCTAATCAAACATTGCCAAAAAAGAAAAAATCCATCTAAAATCCCCTGAGTTGACCCTTGGTCATCTTCCTTCCTCAATCTTTATGTTCCTCGACATCTCGTATTTGCATCTCATCCCTCCGTAACACTCTCTCTCTCTCTCTCTCTCTCTCTCTCTCTCTCTCTCTCTCTCTCTCTCTCTCTCTCTCTCTCTCTCTCTCATTTCGCAAAACGTCGGCTGTCGCTTGCGCTTAATGCGGTCCATGTATGCATGTTACAAGCGTAGTGATTAATGCAGCCCGCACAGGGGACCACGTCGATTTATCAAATTAAGGGTGGAAGCACAAGATAAAAGCCGTGCTCGTGGAAAAGTCCGGATTCGCACTGGATACTCACTCTCTTTTTCTGCCTGTGCGTGTGAGAAACGAAAATTCATACGAAAGGTCGACGTGTAGATGGACAACGGTCAAGCGCACTTGAAAAATGAAGGGCATGACTTATCTGTATCGAAGAGCCTTGACGCGGTGACGCGTCCACTCGAGAGGCGTGACGGGGA